GTAATAGTGGCTTGGGGAATGGTTTGCAGACGAGGATAATGAAGTATTGCTCAAATTCGCATTGGAATGCACAGGACTAGAGTGAGTAGAATTTTGTAAATTATATCCAATGTTAGCCGATTGATTGGCTAATTGTTTATCTTTTTCATAGTTTTCGGCTAATGTACGAATTACTAAACTATTGATTCGTTGTTTTAAAGTTTGATTAGCGCTACTTAGCCGTTCCGTTGGTGTAAAAGATGGAGAATTAGAATTTTGAGAATTTATTTGAGAATTTTGGGGTGACTGCTGTTGTTGATTTTGATTACTATTATTTAAGAGACCATACGATGAGGCTAAAATTGGATTTGGGCAGTTTTGTTCACAAAGATTCTCCAGTTTTAACTCTGACATTGGAACATAGTTATCAAATCCAGAATTGGGTTCTGAACGTGACTGTAAAACATCACTATTCTCTGTTATGTTTGACACTGGAGCATTAATTTTAAAATTTGGAGAAAAAGTATTGTTATTAATATTATTAATAATGTTTCCATTATTTCGAGATATTTGTTGGGTATTATTGTTTTGACTGTTGTTGCTTACATTTCGGGATACTGATGATAGCAAACGCTGTTGCAATGCGCTTACTGGTGGCAGTTGCTGTTGCTGTTGTTGTTGTTGAGATTGCAATTGCGAATTGTTATTCATTGCATTATATTGTTCTCGTGATTTCGCTTGCGCCTGTTGTATGTGAGAATCACTGAGTTTTGGTTTTTGCAGTAAAGTGACTAGATTTGCTTGTATGTGAAAACAATCTGAAAATAATCTAAGAAACGTCGTTAAGTCCCCAGGTGTTTTAAACATACGTAAGCATTGCTCATGTGGAAATTTTGTTGTAACCAATTGATATAAAGAATCTACTAATATAGGACCTTTTATTTCAATACATTGCGCTAAAAAGTCAAGTATCTGTTGAGTCGCTTTAGTATCAATAATAGTCTCCGGCAAATGTAAACGTTCACTTGGCGGTAAATCTTTCATATCTTCACAGCCCACTAAAACGACATGGTCATCTACAACTTTAAAGGTGTCAGGATGTTTGAGTAAAAAATCCGTAAATTCTTTTATATGTTGACCTACAATTAAAATTTACTTATTTAAAAAAAAAAACAATCATTTTTTTCGACAAACGGTTACCCGATATATGACGCACTTGAGGTGATGCTTGTGAACGATGTCCTAAAAGACTTCTTACCGGCACTTCAACCCCAATACCATATAATAGCATTTTTTTCTTAAAATATTCTTTAGCCTCTTTAATATAATCCCTTCGACCTCCAAGAGTACCATCATCCGTCAGACTGTTTTGGTACGAATTCACTTGCACATAATCACCATCAACCAAGAAAATTGATGGATACTGAGCTAAAAATTTTTTCAAACCTAAAAAGTCAAAGAATATAGGCTAGTTATTTTGAATCATTGTTTGTGTAAAAGTTTATATAGAATAAAAAATTCTCATTTAATGTTGTTATTAAGTTATTTTGTTTAAAATAACATATATATAGTACAAAGTCGCTATATTAAGTAAACCCATCTGGCAACACTGCAATTTTAACAAGGTGAGAATAGTAATGATAGCAAGTCTTTAAAACTTCAGTTCTGATATGATCATCGGACCATGCGTATGTGCTGGTGCGATCATCGGACAAGTAGTCAACTTCAAAAAATTCAATGACAAAACAGCAACCGTCAGTCGTCCAGGTGCGTTACCGGTCTATGAAAACGAATTTTTGATGTAGATTGGCATAGCACCTTATTCAACTCGTGTCACAATCGATTTTTTGAAGTGATTGGTCAAAAAATGGACTTTTTTTCTGGGGCTACTTGAAGTAAAAGTTGTATTTCATCAAGCCAAGGACGCTAAACGAACTTAAGTTTAATGTGTGCAATAGCCGCCTTAGCTTCCGAACCATAAGCATATACGATTGAAAATGTCAAAAAAAAACGGACTCATTATGCCATTTTAGCTAAAAGTAGCCACTTGCACGATATAATCTGTTCCTCGTATCATGAAAGTGATGTAATCTCGATAAACAAAGTTAAATGATTTTTTAAATTGAACAACAGTATTTTTTTTAATTTTTTTTTTTGTTAAGTGAATCTACTTCACCAAATACAAGTATAGCAAACACAGTATTTGCTATTTCTTTTGGTATGCAATGTACTACACACATGTACTTTCTAAATGTGATAAACTCAAAAGATGATGTCTTGATACTAGTAATGAAATAAGTTGTATAAAAGATACAGGATAACCCAAACGCTTCCTAAAAATTCCTTACTTTATTATTGTAAACTAAGGCATATCCTAATCAAAATTTTTAAATTTTTTCAGATTTGTATTTGTTTATGTAGTAAAAATGCTCCAATCTAATTGGACTGATTTTTTTAATTCTTTAGCAGTTGGTTTAGGTATTTGCAAGGACTCTTAGCACAGGGTTTTTTATATGTACCAGGTTATAACAGATGTGTAGCCAAGCATTGTCATGATGAAACAGAAAAGTTTTTCTCTTGTTCATTTCAGACACCTATTAATCAACTCTATAACTCTATCGCCTGAATTACTGGCAGTAGAGAATCAAAGATTATAGCAAGTGATAAACATGCAATCCCATTAAACACCCAGCATTACTATCTTTGTATTTAAACGCGGATTCAACACCACTTGTGGACACATATATTTATGAGAAACTCTTTTTTCATAAAGCATATACATTAGGGTGCCATTAATTTTCGAAAGTCGGAAAATTGCCCGCGGCACCCCCCAGATCGGTTCATTTTACTAAAAAAATAATCTGTGTAAAATTTTAGTTCAATTGGATAAGTGGAAGTGGTGCCCCAAGAGCCTCAAAGATTGAAAAATAACGATTTTTTCCATAAAATTCATCTTTGATTGCTTATATCTTCGACATATTTAATTTTACATAAAAACTGTCTTCCTAAAAGTTATAGATATATTTAAAGAAAAAAAATTACCCATATACCTTAATGGCACCCTAATATACATACTTGAAAAACTTTTCATTTTTGTTTCAAAACCGTATTGAATATGAACATTTTTGGTGTTAATTACCTTAACTGAACAGAAAACACTTAACCACAATATCTTTTGTTGAGGAATTTTTGATGTCAGACAGGAACAGGAGCCACCTTATGACACAACGCGAAGCCGGATCACAAGAACATTATCCACATGATCACCGGCTTTTTCAGTGAACAGTCGAAAGTGAATAAACTATTTTCCGATAGTTAACTAGAGTCCAACACTTTAGTCGCTAACTATAGGACAAAATAAAATTACTTAATTTGTTCTGGTAACTTTAGAGCATTACAACAGGTAATAGATATTTCCGAATGGAAATACTAATATTTGTATCAATAAGCGATTTTAAACCAACTTCTTTGTCTTATTAGTAATACTAACCCCAGAGATATTAATTGAAACTTATTTTGCTCTATTTAGCAGACGATAACCACTATATCGTACTAAGAAAAAAAAAAAGAATTACCAATCATATCATTTTTTCTAAGGCTAAAATAGTATAAGAACATCTAACACATCTGACTTATATAATCTATAATGAGGTAATTTAAAACAACTTATATGTGTCATTTGATTGAAGTGGATTTAAATAAAAATAAATTTAAAAAATCTATTTTATTTATATCAGAAGAAAGATTATTGTAAACCACCTGGTTACGCGCTCTGCCGACCTCAATAAAAACTAGCAACAGTCAAGGTGTACAGTTTTCAGTGTATAGTTTCTATTTACGAATAGCATTCGGTGAGCATCAAAATTCGACTATTTTTGAAGACATTAATAATTGACAATGAAATTACGGATTAAAAGGTGCAAATTCTCAAATTCACAGTAGAATCGGGACTGACTTCCAGAAGAATCATGCTGTATATTCGGAGAGATCGGACCTATATTGCACATATAATTTGTTGAAACTTGAACAAAACATCAATTTTTATCTGTACTGTTAACAATATTAGTTAAATCACTTCAGGAAAAGTAGACAAAATTGATCAACTGAAAGGAAGATACAAAATATTTTTGTGTTGACTCGGTAAAAATTTAGAAAGTTTAAATGGATTGGAAAATTTTTATATAGTCACAATATATTGTAAATCTTGCACTATTCGACTAAAATATCAAAAATTTATATTTTACTTTCCTTAAATATATTAAAAAATAAAAATCTCTATTTAAAACAAAAACCCTTTTTGGCTTAAATTTAATATTACAAAAAATATCCTTACACAATTTATGAGTTAAAATATAAAACGCCATAAAGTGGAAAGGTGCCTTCATAATATTGTAAAATATGGATTACGTGGAAGGCAAGAAAAAAAATGCGGCCAACTAAGTGTATAAAAAAGAACTTTACTACACATCTATCTAACGAATTGGGAAGGGTAGCAGAAGTTGCTCTTGCGAATATTGCCTAATTATTTATGTAGAAGCTTCTTTGAGATTAAGTATGTTAATAAAGTTAAGTGCACAACTACTTTTTGGCTTTATCTAATATATTCAGTGACGTATTGAATGGGAATCAAGGGGATAGATTCGTTTAACATTATAATCTAAACATAATAAGAACTACACAAATATTAAAAAATCCAATGCTTACGTTAAAAATCCAAAATTCAAATGACTTACGTTTTATCCAATTCTTATTCGGCCCGAATAATCGAATATATGTTTTTTAAGAGATAGAAATGGTCAGCTAATTAATTACAGCATAACTAAGTCATCCTTCAATAGATTGAAGGATTTCAATCTATTTTCTTTCGGGTTCAAACTTTAGATAAATTTGTTCAGACTTCTACATTCGATTATAGTTAATAAAGCTTAAAAACATCTACATCCAATGTAAACTTTGGAAAAAATAATTTTGAACAGATGGCCGCAACTCCGATTTTCCGGGTGCAAATCTGATTTTCCGAGCCCTTATCAAACAGATTTCAATACTATATATTACATTTCAATATTCTGATATACCATTGTTCTGGAAACATTCGGCTACACATAAAGGGCGCCAACAATATTGCATGTCATTTTGTAAGCTAACACGCATAGAATTTTTCTATTTTTGCAATCAATATAAACAATTACAACCCGATATAGAAAGAACCTCACTATTTTAATATACTGTGTGATGGCGAAAGTTCTTCAGAATATTAAAATAAAATCTTACTAACAGATAAATTAAGCAAAAACATTGTATAATAATATGACATAAAACAAAGTATCAAAAAAAATAATTTAATACTGCTTCTCTTAATTTAATTTTCCTAGGTGTAGCAATGGACGTCCAGGTATACGCTATTAAAATATATGCATATATTTTGTATTTTGTATAGTGTATGTTACAGGCCCTATAATCAAATGTATTATATTAAATTAAATTATTTGTTTAATTTATTCAGATCATGTATCATTTTACTGGCTTCTAGTCTATGTATTTTGGTATCTAAATAAAATTAGAATATAATAGAATTGTAAATACACATATGTATACATATATATGTATAGGTATATATATGTATATGTCATTTTTATTAATTTGTCTTATACAATAATTTTGTTTAATTAATGCTGTGCCAAAACCAAACTTAGTGAAGATGTTCGATAACATAGTTTTTTATATAAGCTACCACCACCCATGTGCCCTAAATTTATTGCAATTGGGTTTGTTATGTAATTTATTGATTTACGTGCCTACAAACATGGATGGTACGGATTATAAAGTTTAACCAAAACAAAAATATTTACTGCACATAAAAACTAAGTTAACTACGGCACGCAATTTTGTACGTGAGCCCTTCTTTTTATTTTCAAAATAACTAACGTTCATATGCATTGGGACTGTATATATATTTACATAATGATGTGCTTTGAGACTATGTAAGACTAAATATTTATAAATAAAATCTTAATATTTTCTGCACAAAATTGGGTTTTGCATGTAAAATGTGAATATACATATGTACAACATACATACATATGTACTTAACTATGTAAAAGTATTAATACTTGTGTTACATCTAAAATACTTAAAATTATTCACAAAGCTTTAATATATTGTAAATATTGTAAAAGAAATTAGAAGTAGTTGAGATTAGGGATTCAGAGAATCCGGTTACATGCTGAAAAATTCTGTATCTTGAAAACTTAAACACTTGCTATTTAGATTTATGACGCACTCTTACTTTTAGATTCAAGCATTAACTTATTCGAAATCGACTTTTTTATTCGCAATTCCAAAATGTATCCATATAAAACAAGCAATAGTTGCTAATATCTAACATTATAGATAGCTTCTTTCTTATATATCGTAAGAAGAAGATAGCTTCTTCTTAATATCTAACATTATAGACAGTTTCTTTCATCCACGTTTGGATAAAAGAAACTAAAATCCCAATATAAACTATTAAGAAAGGTTTTTATCGAACAGTAGTGAAATTACAACAACAAAAACATTTTTATTATTTTCAATTAATTGGATTTTTGACCATATTACTCATTATTAGTGGTTTTGAAAATATTTCTTTCATTTAATTATTCAATTATATTATTATTATATATTTAATTATATATAAATTATTAAAATATTTTTTTTGAAAATGCAAGTATCAAGGGTTGACCTCGTGCCCTGCCAAATTTGAAGCTTAGAGTCAGTGTTCATTAACCAACTGACCCAAAGTGTTTTGTTAATTTGGAATGAACTTATTAACAAATTCATTTGCTGTGTTGTATTAGAATAAGGTTATAAAGCAGCTAATTATTTATATTTTTTTATTTTTAATTGTTAAAATTCCATACTATATCTTTGTATATTTCTCTCGTACACAGTCTTTTACTTATTAAAAACATTTTAATATTTCTTTTTTATTATCAATTAATAAGAAACTATTATAATAATAATTTTTTTTTTTTAATTTATGAATAAAAAAATTTAATACAATTGATTATGTTATCATTTGGAACTAAAAAAATTTTATCTGCTTTTATTCATTGGCCAGGGCTAATGGGATTACTAAGTTGTTTTCATTTGCACTATCGTTTTCCATTTTGAGTTCATTTCAATGCACAATTATATTGTTTTCATAAACAATATAAAAACACAAAGTTGACTTTTAAACCCATTCAGTTGATTCGGTGGGGTTGAACACAATTATGTTTTTCGTTAAAACACATTAAACAAATTTAATGTGTGAATCCAGACATAGCTTAGTTAATTCTACATATATTTGAGTAAAAGCAATATATTATTGAAAGCCTTTCCTTATTATGAAACCTAAAAAATTGTCATACTTAACTGTGATTAAATAAAGAAAGGCAAGTATCTGCCTCTACTTACTCTCTTGTCAACTTAAGATAATAAAGTAATATTAATAAAAAATTGTAGCGGAATATATTAAAAAACATATCACATAATATGTTTATATATATTGGTTCCCGTGGATCCCTTTAGGAGCAAAGGGCCATACAAAATATATTTTACAAGTAAATAATAATCAAATAATAAGATTTAATACTACAACTCTGAATTGTAATTCTCATTTACCTTAAGTTTTGCGATTAATATACATTGTAAAACTCAAGGTATATTTATTTTTGCAATACATAATTTGAGTAAGAGATTTAAGCCATTTGTTTATAAGACCTATAGGAATTAACGTTGTATCTGTACTATTTCCTACTCAACTCGTTCAAACATACTATATTACCTAGAGTAATATTATTACTGTTTGTAACTATTTTAAAAAAAAATATTTTGTAAAGGCCATGTTATGTAGAGTGTCATGCGCTCGTCAAAATTGTCTCTTTTGGACTTTGACGAAAATGCATGTTATGCAGAGTATCACAAAAATTGTAACAATTTGCTTTAAAAAGACACAAAAGTTGACATTTATTACTGAATAACACTGCTTTGGCTAAGTGCCGAGGCACAGATATACTCGGTTCTCATGACCAAATTATAACCGTGATTTTGTTTTTCTCTCACTCTCAATTCTATAATTTGCATTGAAAACAACAAGTATGCTCATGACTAGCTTATGACACTCTACATACCACGGGCCATAGTTGTAGTAAGTTCTTGACGTTGAAAGTTACCAAGTAACCAAAGTTAGTTCCATCATGAGATCTGATAATCAAAAAATATGAATTGCTTAAAAAATTTCAATTTGTATTCAAGATTAACAACATACGATATTCGCATGGAAATCAAAAAGCTGTTACAAAAACAGAGAAAAGCATATTAATAGATTTAGTTCTTTTTCCCAATATATTCCCATTGCAATTCGGTACTCTTCATTCTATATTTCTCTTTCGTTTTAATTTGAATATGATTTGTTAAATTCCTTTAAATACGTCTTTATGTCTTCGATTGGTTGCTTTCTGGTGGTAAATTTCAATCCACTTATTTACTTGACCTCATTACTGAAAGTATAAAAGCTATCCTCAATGTTACATCAAAAAAATGGCTAAAAAAATATTAAAGTTTTTTTCTAATCTAACTAATAATTTTTTTGCTATTATTCGAATTTTTCAATTATTATAAATATTAACTTTTTCTTTACTGTATTTTTGCTTTTTCGATCTATAGGATGTCGATCTATCTTTTCATCAGCAAGCTAAATTTGCAATTTAAGACTTATTCGAAACTTCACCGATCTATTAAAAGTTTAGGAAGATCGAATCTATAATGGATAAAATCAGTTGAATATATTTTGAAACGATAACGCAAATTTCTGGCTGGATACGACTATATTTAAAAATATGTTTTTGCATTGAATTTTACATGAAAACTCCTAAATATAGATGAAAATATATTGGGTATAGCCAAAGCTAACGATTTATTTTCTTTTATACTAGATTAGCACTATAAAAATTAACTCGTTTGATAATAAATGTCATTTTTAAATAAAATGGATACAACAATGAGCTAGAGGTTCAGTAATTATATGTACAAACAATATTCTTGAGAGAATAATCAATTTTTCTTGATAGAAGTGATTTTAATCCATAAACCTCTGAATGCCTGTCAATGCGCCCCTCAAAAGAGCAAATCAACTGAGACAACACTCAATAGTAAATTTGTTTAAACGCATACTAGTTTACAGAGAAATCAATATATAAAGGGTTTCCTAGACAAAGAGAATGCATTCCACAACACTATCTATGATACAATAAACGGTGCACTCTCAGGATACAATGTGCCATTAATGGATAACATTATTGTTATCCATCTAGCCTGCAAAGAACAACATATAGCAAAAACAGTCAGAGATTGTCCTTCAGGTAGTATGCTATCACCAATATTATAGGCATTGGTCATAAATAGTCTAATCCAATCCCTCACGGATCTGGAATATGAAGTTTTTACCTGGGAGATTACTTAGCAATAGCTGTTAAAGAAACATGTGGACATATTCTATCTCACCTGCTGTAGACCTTATTAACAGTGGTTCAAAACTGATCTGCTACTATTATACTAGACAGAGAGAGTTGAGAAGATAACACTGAACAGAAATCGGGATCGGCAATCTGCAACTCCGAAAACTTTATATCAGTCAGGCTGACTATCACACACAGACTATAAAAATTTATGGTAGACATCGACTAAAAGAAAATTTAAGACACAAAATAATCTTCATGTCAAACTGTCATGCTTTATGCTCTATGTTATTAAAGCTTTATGCTCTATGTTGATAAAATATATACTGGTTTAGGAGACAATATGTGTCTTAGCTAAAACCTGGCAACTACAAATCAAGGGGATTATACTGGATATAATAATTTTGAAGGAAAATTTAATGGCAAAAAAGTGGATAAATTAGCCAATTCATGGAGCAAACAAGAATCACTTCATAAGTTTGATCAAATTGGACTTCACTAATTGAGTTAACCACAAGTGGTTTAACTATACAAAACTCTTCCAGAACTACTCACAGAAAAGTGCAAATATATCTTAAATTGGAACAGATCAGACTAAAGTGATAACCGCAGATTAAAGTGATAACCGCAGTGATGCTTTCTAAATAAGCATGCGGTGTGGTTAGGACTTTCACCAACCAACGAATGTACACTATGTATACAAAAATCTTTACATATTCTTGGAGCATGGCATGTTTTTATAGAATATAAGGGAAGTTTTTATAAAGAATTGATCCACGAATCAGAGTGGCCAAACATCGATTTGGAAAAGATTAAGACTTTTCTGCATACAACTGAAGTGCAAGAAATCTTTCGAGAATTTAGGATAGAGCAGGATGCAATAGTTCATTAATGAATGCAGTGTCACAAGTAGCTAATGTTCGGCCCACCAAAATATTATGCAATACAATTTCCAAATAGATTAGTCTGTTAATAATCTGAATAATAATAGTTACCAGATTGGCTTCCTCCAGCAATTTGACGCATTTCCTTAGTAAATTCTTTGTTTCCAAATTGGCACGATAGATCATGTACAGTGCGTGGCTCACCTTTGTCCAGCAAACGCTCTAAGAAAAACAACAACGTCATGTTACGTGCCATTTCATACTCCATAGATTCCATTTTCAGTAAGGCAAAAATCACAACCTGTGTGTAAATAGTTTTTTGCTAAGCGTAAAAAATTTTTTATTCTTCTCTTATTTTTCTAATTTTCCAGTTAAGAATATTTTTATCACGATTGCATATGAATGTTATCCGTTTATCTATAAGTTACTGTTTCACTGTTACGTAGTAGTGTTGTTGCATTCAGTTGCTTTTATCTGTAAATAAGAAATTTGATATCACATTTTAATTTTTGCCACCTTTGCAAACTGCAAATATGAATGAAATTAATTATGTAACCAATTTATTTAATTTAATTGAACATTACAATCCTTTTGGGAAGAGGAAAAATAAACTCTATATTCTGCCATCTAAAGAGGCGATATCTCACATATACTTTCAAACAATAACGGCCTCATTACCGATTCGCAATTTGCGAATCGAAATCGGTAAAAGCAACAAACAGTAACAAACATCAGCTGCTATAGCGGCGAAACCATCTTCGTTAAGTCCATAGATCGCACTTGAAAATAAAGCTCATAATAGACAATTGAAGGCAACAAACAAATAAATTGAGCAAAAATGTTAGAACGTTTAACATAGTTCATAACGAGAGAATAAAGAGATAAACTTTGTTTACGTAGAATGATTTATTAAATTTTATGTCAAATTTCATTAAATTAAATTGAAGTTAGAAATAATCTTATGCATATAGAATTCATTTATGAATTTTTTTTATAACAGTTGGTATTTTTTATTTACACACAGACGGGATCAAAATGGTTTACTACATGCCAACACATAACACTTGCATGAGTAATTTATCATTCTACAAATATTTCGTACTGAAAGTTAGTTCTACTCAGCCTAAGGTTAAAAAAAGTGTAAATTTTGTAGCAAATTTTTATAGGGCAAAAATTTTAATGTCATTAAATTTATTATATAGACTCATTCATATATCGTATTTACCTTTTAGTTTATTAGTTTATTAAATTATTAAAGTGTTGATTAAAAATATATATTATAAGTGCACTTATTTTATTATAGTTTGCTTTAACAGTTATAAAAAATCCGCAACGTTTATATCAATACTGTATTCTGTTTTATTTAATTTATGTAAATTTTGATATGTATGGAAACGTAATATTAGATACATGAACGTGAATAAATGCAAACCAATACGTCGTAATTATTCTGTCTTTTTTATTAATACCGGATTTTAAACCATATTTAAATAGTTTTGAATATTTATTATATATATATCACAAGAATTAAAAATCATTAAACAATTACTTCACATTTGCCCGCATTCTTAAAAAATTTATATATAACAAGTGAAATCTTACACGACTGACGGACAATTTAGTCAAGCAGTGCAACAAAAAAATAATCACAGCGAATTAAATTTCCCATATTCTGGGCATAGCTCGAGGAAATTTTCTTAAGTTTGCTGTACAACACTGGATACATTTGTTCGACAAACAAACCTGTCACTCATGTGTTTGAGGTTTCTGAAGTGATTTTATAATGATATAGTAAAACATGCGTAATTTTACGATATTTATTATTTTGCACATACCATTATTACTTTTTAACATTGAACATTAACATTTTATAAAAGTTTGGTACAGAAATGTTTAAGGGTTATAGAATATTTGATGGTATTATCTAGCACTTTTACTCGGTTTGATGCTTTTAGCTAACAGTTCTGTAAATTTTTTGAATTATTTTTTTTATTTATTGTTCTTCCTTGGTATTTGTTTTGTTATGTATATATAACTCTATTTATTAATGACCAAATTAATGGTCATTAAATAATATACAATGGTCATGTATAGTTACCATACATATGTATACTTGCTTTTCCTGATATGATTTTCATTAAGGAGGGTAATTCATATGCAGTTATATATTTTCAATGGGCAACTTAATTAAATTAATAAACGAAATATTAAACATCTGGAAATAGATATCATTTAGATTTATTTTAAAAATATATATATTCTTATTACCCTGGGAAAGTTTTTTCCTGCCTTTTTTCTCAACTTTTGAATTATACGCTATCACTCACATTGATTGCATTTTATTAGTATTGTGACTTTTAATTTCTATTTAAAGAAAGATTACCGTCATTTCGCAATTTTTTTGAAATTTCTAATTTCTGTTCGATTTGATTATTTAAATGCGTAACCAACTACAACGAGAAAGACGTAAAAATAATTCGAGTGCGAAATAGAGCAATTAGCGGGGGACCAAACACCATTCCGATAGATGATAATGCAAATTGCTATATAAATTTCATCATTCTCAATATGCAATATATTTTTTGTTGCTAAAGTACAAAATTTAAGAACGTATTTCTCTTTTATTGGACCAAAAACTAGCGACGTTTCACATGATCCTAAAACGATTCAAATTAATGGCACTGTGTAGTATTATTTGAATGCTTTTTATTGCACTCTGCTGCAATTTATATCCATTTATTATCTGGAATTACACCTTCGTGGTCAACTTATTTAATAATCACCATAATTATTAGGCATATCAGAGTTACAATACAATTAGTTGAAAACTAATAAACTAAGTTTTAGGTAGACCAATTTAGATTTCTCTAGAATTTAGAATGGTTTTATTCTTTTTAGAGCAATCATGCTAAAGACAGTTTTAGATCTACAACAATCCGACACGGCACGTGAACCCCGATGGGATAATTTTTTCAAAAAGGAAACATGGATCTTCCATACTGTGACTGTTTTGCAGTCAGAGATTACGGAGACCATCTTGTTCAAACAACAAAGACAAATACAATTTTCACAACGCTTTTTTCAACTTGAGGGTGCGAGTTATCTGAAAATAGTCATTCTAAGACACACTAACGTAATGTGAGTTAGAGATCACATTCCGAATAGAACCTGAAACTTAGGAAGTTCCATACCACAATTGTATCGCACTGTCAGGCCATTAACTATGTCAAAAAATACATAAAGGATAGAGCCCTGAAATTATTTACGAACACTGACAGCCTTTTACCAACACCGCGTTATCGAATCTTAGAATGGTTACAGTCAGTTACTGCTTAGTCTAATGAAGTGATAAGCAATAATTCAGTCAACTCGTAGAGAGGGGTTATGAAGAAACCTCGCAGTTATAGAGAGTACAAATGCTCAAGTGCACTGACTCAACTAGTCTCAACATAATAATGAGTGGCAAGGCTTCATCTATCTGTCTAGGTGATCACAATTAAAACGAAGCATTATTCCAATTATACAATATCATAATTTTCTATTTTTTATATACTTTACACACCGCTATAAAATTGTGCATGTGGCATGTTACCTTTTTGAAGGATCAAATTCTTTAAGAAGCCTATTAACATTCATTTCCATCGTTACTACTAGATAATTGCTTAAAAATAATTATATTCGTCTACTTTTGTGGCAAAAGTTTTCAAAAACTTCACTATAAAGTCTTGTATCAATACTAATTTTTTTAGTAGACTTTCTTATATTGAATACTTGCCTACTTGAATACTTGAATAGCTTCTCCTATCCCGTTGAGTTTCAGCCTTAATGATTGTATATTTCTAAAAATACTTGCTTCGCGATTTAATTCCGTCAATAATTTTTAAACAATAATTATTAAATTAATAATTTAAAAAGTTAAATATTTCGACAACAAGAAATTAAAACTATGAACGTAATAGTGAATAAAAATAGCGATTGAAGATCTTGACTTAATTTATATCTGGTGATATCTGTAATATTCAAAAAACGCTGCTTAAATTGTCCTTCGTCGCTAACCAGTCTTATCACAGTAGACAATTTAGATTGTAAGGATATGTCTAATGTGTCATTCAATAAAATAGTAAACTCAGAATCTGTCAATAATATTTTATAGAAATATTTCAAAAATAGTTGATTGAATGCTGGATTAATAATAAGCTGATTTAATTAACTGCCTTAAAAATTGACGATTCTTAAAAACTACTTTAGTGTAATAATTAAATGCTTGGTTTTTGATGATCTAACACCAAGTAATTCTTTGTTCACCAAATGTTTTGAAAGATTAAGTTTTATCTCTTATGTGTATTAGAGTTTTCTCATGTCGAACAATACCGGCACTAAAGTGATTTAAGTTACCAAAACTACCAAGACTCTGGACAGTTCTGTTCATCTCTCAAGCATATAGCTAACATGACCAACAAAACAATTTCTTGATTTTCTTACATCCCTTGACCCACTGATTTTTATTATATGCAGTCGTAGGAAAACACCGTTTTATCACTAATTTCGATATTTTTACTTCAGTCTGCAACTTCTTCATATCTGGAGTTGGTATATTTAATTTATTAATCAACATTTTCTTTTAAGCAGTTCTCATAAAATATGATGTTTTGACTATATCTTTAATTATACAATTATCCGATTTTAAATATTACTTTTCAAAGCTGCTGCAAGCGTAAAAAAAGAATTCTTATTCAGTCATTTTCTCCTTCCTTTTATTTTTTCTATGCATATTTCGTAAGAGGTCTACTTTTTCATGAAGCGCCTTAAATAGAAGAAATGAATACGATATTCAGTGAACACTCTGAATCATTCGACGCCTCGCACCTGCTTACAATAATCATGAACTGACCTTATCAGTGCTAAAATTTTATTTCGTAGAAACGTCATGCCTTGCTTAAACATTACTTATCTCCCTCGTCGAGTAATATTCTCCGACTTCCAAATATTCCCCTACATTCCAAAAATTTAAAAAAGAAAAATTCTTCAGTACAGAAAATTGAACAAAAAACTGAATTGATAAAATTGAGACCCCACCCTATTCAGCCTTCTTAATGCTTGTTTCAATATATGATAAATTGTAATCTATATCCGAACAAAGAGGTTAAATTTACCTAATTTTATACCCATTGTCTTTCAAATATGTTATTAAAGTCTGTAAAATCGTTAAAAGTTTATAATCGACAGCCAACATTATAATTTTGATTCAGTGAAAACACGCTAATTCGAAGTGGTCAGAAGTTTAAATTTAAAAAAAATAATTAAGAAACCTGCAAAATAGTAGAAAGTTTGTAATAGAAAAAATTACTAGATCTTCTTCACGAGTATCATGTTATCTGCTTTAAGGCGTTTATATGTTAGTTATTTTTTAATAATAATTGTTATTTAAAAAGTGTTTACTATTATTTCCATAAACAATTTAAGTTATTTGAGTAATATTAAATTTGAAAAATGTTTATAACTAATTTAAGTATAACTAAAAAAAACTGAATGAAACCGCATATGATTAATGGTCCTTTACAAGCTTACCTCATTCTAGCTAATATTTATCGAGGTTTTATAAAGTTGAAATATATGTTTTTTTTACGTGTTTATAATTGCAATTATAATTTACTAAATTAAGTAAACGCTGACGATGTGTATAGTTTTTATATCAGTTGTTTATTAAAATAAAATTTTAAAAAATATCTTCTCAATATAGATCATTTAAATTTTTTTTTTATTTTATATTTTGAGTTGGAATATATGCTGCTTAACAACCTATATCAATTATGACTTAATTTCGTCCATTTTTCGCTTACTGACCACAGCCACTTCCCTACAGCTTCATCTTCTGCAGCTGGTGCAACATTTTTTAAATTGCAATCACTAAAATATTTGCCTGTTACTTTTTCCAATTCAGGATCTAATGCAGCATAAAGAGTTGTTTGAGCACCGTTTCTGGCATTTTTTATAAAAGGCCAAAACAGAGGCTTCACGATTAACCTAAAATATTAAAATAAATAATAACTACTAAAAGAAACAAGTACTTAATATACCTTGCAAAAAAATTATTGAAAAATCCCATATGTCTAAAAAGTTCTGTGTCTACTACACCTGGATGCAAAGCATTTACTGTAACTCCAGTTCCTTTGTGTATACGAAATATTTTTAATTAATGTAAAATATTAAGGTGTTTGACTTGCCTTCTAATTTCTTTGAAAGTTCTCTTGTAAACAAAATATTTGCCAATTTACTCTGACTGTAAGCTTTTCCTTCGTCATATGATTTTTCACTATTCAAATCGCCAACGCATATTTCTCCTCTTACGTGCGCCAGGCTTGATACAACAACAATTCTGCTTGGTGCAGAGTTCTAGAAAATAATTAATTAAATTTAATTAATCACATAAATATAATTTATATCAATATTATGTTCACCTTTAAAAGATCCAACAACAAATTTGTTAAATAGAAATGACCTAAGTGATTGACGCCTAATTGCATTTCGAATCCATCTTTAGTTAAGGAACGTGGACAGCGCATAACGCCTGCGTTGTTAATAAGCACATCCAATTTGTCTTGTTCTTTTTTAAACCTATTTATACATAAATAACATTTATTGGTTGTATCGAAAAGTATACTTCATATGATTTCATATAATATTGCAGTAAATTGTTAATTAATATTGTGCTTACTTGTCGACAAAATTTTTTATTGATCCAAGTGAGGATAAGTCACATTCACGACAAAATATATTTTTATTGTAAGTTTCTAAAACAATTTCATCACGTGCCTTAAATATAAACAACAAAAATTAGCCCACAAATCTTTGTATTCAGCAGTTTGTATTTCATTTTTATATTTATATAAATAATGCTATAAACTTCCATATTTTGGATATTTACCTCTTCGCATTTCTTCATATCACGACATGCCATGTATACAGTTGCACCTCTATGGGCCAGATCTCGAACTGTTTCTTTTCCAATGCCAGTATTAGCTCCGGTTACTATAAACACTTTGCCATCCGCAGAAGTTTTCTTTGTATATTTTCCTCCTTGCAAATGTTCTCTAAAATTATTGCTTATTATATTATTTGTTCAATGCACATATTTGCAATTACTTTACGAAACAAGCCACACCAATCGTGGTACCTGCAACACTTAACCAAAACACAGGAGGACTTTTTAATAATGATAATATCTTCCTCATTTTCAATAATTTCCAATTTTAATTTTCAAAAATGATATAGATTTTTTCGAAAATTGCATAAAAGCTTTACTATCTAATCTAAATATACAACGATATATCGGCAGTTTGACATTAGACATATGTTGATGGTAAAAAATATTTTGACACAGGGTCCATCCCCATTATTTAAATTCTAAACTCTTGTGGGAAATTTATTTTTAAGAGTTGCATTACATATATCTGCCCTTAAATGAGGTGATTTGTTGAGCTCATTTGTATAATAAATCATACTCATTAGTGGTTATAATGAGTAAAACCGCTTAAATGAGACGGTGTGAATGCGCTATAACATTCAAAATTAATTTTGCTTACAAAAATATTTTGAAATTTCATATTATTATTAAGTTTTTATTTGTATAATTTTATTTAATTATACCTAACAATAAAATATAAACAAAAAAAACTCTTTGAATATTTTGCTCACAATTAACTAATTTATTGTGACAATTCTGATGAGGCTGATTCTGATGAGGATACTTCAGCAAATCACCAACGACAAAGTGTCGTAAATATATAGTTTACTAATCAATTTGCTTAAGTAAATAAATTAAATTACTCGTAAAAATGTTTATTATATAAAAAGCTTTTTAAATATCTTTTTAAAAAAAAATAATTTGCATTTCTTACCTTTTAATTTATGAATGTTGTCAAAATGTATATATACATCTTTATAATATTATAAAATAAATTTAAACGTACTTACATATATAACTGCCAGTTTTTTTAAAAAGAAGATCTACCTAAATTACTCATACTGAATTAATTTTTTTTTAGTTTGTAGATTATGTAAAGCCCACGAGTTCTTAAATTTATAATAACATTTCACGAAATAATGGAATAATATATGCAAATATATTTGCATTGACAAACGGAACTTTTTAAAACTACTGAATTTTTGCCTTAAAAACAACTATTTCACATATAATGGAAATAACTATAACCAAGTGATTGGTATGCCTATGAAAATCTACTTTCTCCACAGATTGTGGTCATTGTACAAGACACAATTGTACGCTTATTTAAAGGAAGGCATTAAAATCCAAAAAATCTTCAAATACGTTGACGTATTAACGTAATAATGAAGCATACGGATGATTATCAAATAAGACATTTCAGCATGTTCTATATCCCCAATCTAGCTGAGAACAAACAACTAAAAGATATTTTCAACAATAATACTAGGTTTGCTTACAAAAACAACAACAGCAATTACTATTCAGCAACAATCAAATGAAATCGACTAAATAAACTCCAAAGAAGCAAATTGCAGGAAGAACAGGAAGAAAGACTGTGACTGTATAAGTTGTCACTACTTGTATCTTGGCGCACCAAGGACCAGCTTGGTAATCATTCTTTTATTGTAGTTTTGTTATTTTTGTTTTTATTTGGATTGCAAGTGTCAGGGATTAAACAATTGTTAATTTTTCAAGAATTATATTATATTATTATATTGTACTATTGTGGTATGTATCAAATGTCAAATTTTTATTTTTGTTTAGTGCCAAAAACTCTATTTCAAATAGAAAACGGGTTAACAAAGGGTTAAAATTTTCAAATTGAAAAATTTTTTCAGTTTAATCAAGTGAATTAAAAATTGCTGTGTGTTTCAAATACCGACAAATATTCAACACCAGTAGTTTTTTGGAAATATTGGTGTGATATATTTGTAATGTCTCATTGATTGCTTTTGTAAATAATGTTAACAATTTTTTTATTCTATATTTTATTTTTTTATAAAATAGATAGCATTGAGAGGTTTATAATGTTTCATATATATATATATTTTCTGTAAATAGTTTTCTTAACCTTTTTTTTGACAAAAAGATTTACGAATTATGGAGTGATAAATTACTTCCATATCTATTAATATCTCTTGAAATTAAAAAACTTACCTACAAACCCTTAAAAAACCAATTTTAACAATTTTAAAAATCCAACTTTAATCCATCATTGGTATACACTAAGGTGCTTAGGAAAAAAAACGGGTCGCACATCACAGCTCAATAAATTTAAATAACTTAAGTATGTTGTAAATTAAAGAAATAAAATATTCAGGCCTATTCTGAATACTCCCAGCAAAAAAACTCCCTATTCCCACGCTGTTCCCGAACACACAGTTCCCTTATTCTGAATCGCTAGGGAGACAGCAGTTTCGTGAACAACAACAATTTCAAATTTGTTTTGTTAAATTTTGGCAACCATGCCACTTTTTAATGACGAAAAGTGAGAAAATGAGCAAAACAAAAAAAACAGTTGCATATCATATGTTGATTTAAATGTTAAAATCGCATTATTTGTTTGCTGCACAAATTATTAGAAATAAATATAAATAAGTGATTAAGTGAATAAGTGATTAATGAAAAACTTTTATTTTAATGAGAAAAATAAACATATAAAAAGAATTGTGCAGTTGTTGGTGTTTATTTATATAAAAAATTTTTAAAAACTTTAAAAATGCATTCAATTGCATTACGAATATTAGCAGAGGATTTGGCTCAAGAACATGAGCAAGAAATTTTGAAACAGAGGATCAATCGGAGAAACTTGAGAGATGCAGCAAATCCACTTGAGCTGCCTAATTTCTTGTAACTATAAATGTAAATTTAATTTGGTTTTAAAATAAACTTTTTTTCATTATAGATTTCAAAAATATTACAGAGTAAATAAACCAGCATTTATTTACCTGTTAGAGGAACTTACTGAGGAACTTACTGAGGAACTACAACCAGCAAAGAAGCAGTTTGCAGTTGCTCCAATTGTGAAATTGAGCGCTTGTTTGCGTTTCTTTGCTGAAGGAGCTTATCAAACATCAGACATTAAATATCACATTAAAATATATTCGAAAAATTTATTATTATTGGTTACTTAAATGTTAAATTTAACTCTTTTCTAAATTTTTAACTAATTAAAAAAACCTTACGTCATGATATCAATTCTTCAATGTCTTTATTTTTAAACATTCACTGCTTTTATATAAAATTTGCGTAAATTATAATTTACTTTTTTATATAATTAGGATAGAAATGTCCTTCATGCTTCAATTAATGAACTAATAATGGTTTATACCTGTGCAGATCTTACAATAAAAAAGAAGCAATGTTTTACCTGCACATAATTGCAGTTTATTTTAACTTATTCTAGAAATCCATTTATTTCAGAATTTGGTTTCCTTTCATTTTTCTATTGTTTTAAAAACAATAGTTAACACTTTAATTAATGGAAAAAACCCGTGTGAATAAAATAAATAAATAAAAATTTAACTATTTCAAATTTGTCATACTTTTATTAAAATAATAATTTTAATAAAATATATTAAATGAAAATTTTGTTATATTAAATTTATTAAAATATATTCGGAAAACTAATCAAAAAATAACACTTTAAAAATATTAAATTTATTGTAATAATTTTATTATAATAATAATTTTATTAAAATATATGCAAAAATCTGATCATTTTCAGTTACTTTTATATTAAATTAAACCATTTTTAATACTTTTTTAACTTGTGTCCCCAACAATTTGATAGGGAGAGAATTTGTGCAAAATTAGGAAAAAACTCCCATTCCCATGCGATTCAGAATAGGGGAATTGGGAACAGGGAACATACCAAATTTATTCAGAATAGGGGAATTGGGAACAGGGAACAAACTCCCATTCCCTTGCGATTCAGAATAGGCCTGATTATTTTTATTGGATAATGTAATTTTTCACAAGTTTGTATATAAAAACGTTTTAAATTTTATATACATTTTGGCTTTTGTGACTGTTGTTAAAGTATTTAATATAATTGATAAAAAATCTACATCTGCTACATTGAAGTAACAAGGTCCTTTCAACACGTCCAAGATGAATTTTAATACTGTCCAACGTATGCTGCCGCTCTATCTATCTATTTTGTCCGCTTCCTATCCCCAACATAATTAAACTACAAATTATTACAGGTTCCCTACATAAGCTACTACACAACAATGTCAATAAAAATACACACAAATTTCTTCATAATAAATAATATAAAAATGTTTATTAATTCATTTGTTAATATAAAAAAATTTAAATAATAAAAACATATAACAAAAGATTTTAAATATCATTAAAAAAATTTTACACTTTGAAAAATGTTGGGTAAGAATTTATAAATATGTAAATTTTAGAAGATGCGAACACAAATGCTGTACGTTGCAATTTTATATACGTTTCATTAATTTCATATTAATGAAGGTTTAGAAATAAATATAGTAATATCAATTAAAGTAATATCACTATTTCTCTCAGCTTTTCCATTTTGATACTTTTAAATAATACTAAATTTATTACGAAATAAATAATTCTGTTGAATCTATACTGATGACGCACAGTTTTAAACTTAACACATCATAACACTATAGTTTAAAGTATCACTATTGCAAAATATCGCATCGCAAATCACCTATGTTCACAAACTTATATTCCAGAAATTCTTTATGCTGTAGGAGCTGTAACAAAAGCACCAGCAAATAGTACATTTTTCTTGTTCCATATCATATATAGAAAAGGACGATCAGCATAAAATTGTAGTGGTAACAACATACATCGAGTCATCATAATCATACCTTTTAATACATATAAATAATTATTGTTAAGATTAGGCACAGAATTTAAAAAAAAATTACCAGTAGCAGCCGCCGCTTCTGTTCCTTCCTCGTTTACTTCGATGAAGGCCTTATGCACCACTTTTGAAACAAATATATTTTCTGGCGATTCGAGCATATTGCTGAACTCAGCATCGTCTGTGAACATTTTAGTAATACCAAACTAAAAAAAATAGTCGAATTTTAAAACTTTGTATACTCTCTTTTATATACAAGACATTAAAATATTTAAATGAAAAATATTTCTTGTATAATTACTCATTTAAAAATTTGCCTTGTATTACTTAAAAAATAATTAAGGAAGTTATATTTGATTTATATTCAAATAATATTCCATTAGAAAATATTTGGAACTCTACAATAATATATAAGATAAAACATTTATTACTAGTTTTAATAACGATTATATAATAATTATTATAATAGAAAAAAAAAATGAAATTGTTGAATAAATATGTCGTTAGGGTTAAGAAATTCTGGAAAAAATTTCATAAAACATTTTTAGTGTTAAAATTTGTTGTGATACTAATCATAGTAGACAAATCTATTTTAAATAATAATCAATCGAATGTTTAAATGAAAGGGTAATTTTTCCATTTTCAAACCACAGTATCAAAAAAATACATATTCTGTTTTTTTCTGTCTAGATAACAGAATGATATCAAATCCAAAAATAAGCTTCATTATAAAAATTCCGCACTAGAGTACGATAACTGACTAATATTAGTACATGCATTTAATCGATAACACTAAACCAATTAAAAAATTCCTAAAATTTAATCAATTCTATAATAAATTGTACTCACCTTTTTAAGCGCATCAGTTAATTCTACAGAATAGTCCACCTTAAATTTGGGAAAGCTTACTTGTACTTCTTCAGTATTAATTTTGTCAGCTAAATCGATTAAATTAAATCCTTTTAGTTTTTCTGCAAGCGATTTAAGACCCTCTCGTTCGTTAGGTAGCAACACAAGCATTGATAAATCGGAATCCTTATAAGGCATTTCAAGAGCAGTGCAATCTAAATCCTCTAAATACCCGTAACCGAATTTGGCCTTTTTCTTCATATACTGTACTTTAACAGACTCCTCTTCACTCGTCCAAAAATCATCTTCTTCAGTTAACTGCTCATCAAATTTATTTTCCCAACTTCCCTTAAAGTGAATTGCATTTAATAGCAATAAACGCGTATTATCATCTAATGAGCTTGGTTCGATTAAATCCGTTATTTTTCCTTCAGTTTTTTCGCTCACCCAAGAATTTATGGTTTCAGCAGCTAGATTGCTTTCTGCAAAATTCAAATTTTCAGCTTCAGCAAGGTAATGTTCTTTGACAGCTGTTTGATACTCTGCCTTCAATTCCGCGCCGTCTCTGAGGTAAAGTTTATTTGCAATTTTTACAAGATCGCTATTCCTGTACTTTTCTAAAACAAATTGAAATGTCTCCGCCACCTCTGGTGGAAAATTGGACACGAGTTTCAAACCATTTGCAATTTCATCTGCCGTTTCACCCTGGGCACCAGCAAAAGCTAAAGCAACGCATGTTTGGACAGATAGCGGTGAAAATATTATGTTACTTTTAACACCATCGACGGACAACAGGTGGAACAGTTCGCTGGTGAAGCTTGCTCCATTACGTGCAAATTGTAAATTAAAATCAAACATTTTTAAATCCAATAAATTTCTACAAAACAATACATATTAAATTTTTTCAGGAACACACAAAAAACACGTCCATTACTCACCAGAGCCAAAACAAATTTGCCGAAATTCAGTTGCCGTCACTTAAAACGAAACTACATATAAACATACTTAAAATTAATAACAAATATCTACGGTCGGTCAACTTGGAACTATTGTATAATGAAGTTAGATGAGAAGAGTAAGTTTATTATGTTATTATGCATTTACCCATTGGCATAAAAGTCCTACTTTTGGACTACTTGCCTTGGAAGAAACCTATTTTCGGTTTTTACAAACTTGCCTTGTCATATTTATTCCATCACAAACATCTTCCTAAGAAGTATTCCCTACAATACTTTCAAACAGAAATAGTCGGAATTACAGCTTGAAAATATTTTTCTGTTATCAAGAGATAAAATATTGTATTTGTTATATTGGTGCTGTCGATATTTAGTATTAAAGCAAATAATTATAGATTTTCTACATTAAAAAAAACCTTTTGCATTACAAATAATGTTTTTAAATCATTAGATTAGTAAATTATTCATCGGTAGAAGTACTGTAATGTAACAAAAAAATCTATATATAAAAGCGAAGAAAAAGTAACTAAGACATAACATGGGAGTTCAAGTTTTTATTTCTGAACTTAATTTATTATATAATAGATATTAATATTTTTTTTTCTTTTGATTTGATGTGTCTTTTGGAATTATCTTTTATTATGTATGAAAAAGAATATTTCCAGAAAGTATTCTCACACCTGTATATAAATATAGAACACAAAATATACGAAAACATTTCCAGAAATGATGAGATAGATTAGATATAACAAAAGTCCAGGGGCGTGGACGCATACCATTGAAATATTAAAGATAAATATTATATGTAGAAAAAAATAAAATTTTATGAATCATCGCTCACAATTGTGGTTGTTTTTCAATTTACAAAACAAAGTAACATTCTCATTGTGTATATACATATATATTTCTGTGCACTTGTGTAAACTGATGTACAATCGAAACTATTTACTTTTGGAGAAAGTTTTAATTTACCTAAATAGTCAGCATTTAACGACACACCAATAAAAAAAAACACTTTTGTTATTTAAATATTTTATTTTTTGTTATAAATATAATTACTATTCAAGACTTCTTTTAAAAAATAATTTTAAAACGTTTGTGAGAAACAATAATTTTGTAAAATCAGTATTATATTAATACATATACATATATTACACATTTACGCATATACAAATGATAGTACAAAATTAATTAATTTTAAATAATTATCACTCAGCTATTATTTTTAAGTTTCAAAAATTGGTTTTGAATCAAGTTAAACCGTCTCTCAATTTCTTGTAAGTTGCACGAGTTACGTTCGGAAGACACATTCAAATTTAAAGATGTCTGTTTTAAAATTCAAAATTAATATTCAATATTAAAATTATAAATCGTTGATACAGAACCTTTTTAATATTATGCTTTAGACGATCCCTTTCTTCAGATATTCTTTTAATATCATCAGCATACTTTTGTGATAATGACTGACATTTTGGTTTCATATTTTGCATTTGAGCAAGTAGTGTTATATCTTCATCTCGCATCTGTTCTTCAGCTAACATTAACTGCGTACGGTCTCTTAGTTTCTATAGTCATTAAAAATATTTCTTTAATTTACTATTATTTATATGAATACTCAAACCTCTGTTTCAATGTTGTGCCATAATTGATCCAACTCCTTTTCCGTTTCGATTGCTTTCTTTCGTTGTTCAGATTTTTTCATAGTTGCTATTACTTTTCCTCTACGATTACGTAATTCTTTCTGGTAAAGAAGAACAATTTTGTTCTGATAAGCTATACGTTCTTCCTCACGTTTTAATACATCGAGATACAGTTTCTCCATCTCTGGAAGAATATATTAAAATTAGTCTTACTTATGAAAAATGAAAATTTTTTTTCTTTTAACATCATTTTTGTTATACGATATAAACAACAATCTAGAGCAGGGCTGTCCAGACTAGATGCGATCGCGGGTTAATACAAATTACTGTACAGATTGGAGAGGCGCAGAAACAAATACATTATTAAAAAAAGTTTAAGCATGAAATCGCCCAACAGCCGGTACTGCGGCCAGAAGAGTCCTATTGTACTAACAAATGCATACGTTCATAAATACATTATAACATATAATGCAGTTTTATCCGTACACTAAAAGAAAATTTGCGTAATTATAGTAGATTAAAAACATCGCGGGCCGTACTTTGGACAGCCCTAATCTAAAGCAAACTTTAAACTTTTTTACGCTGTGCAGTGATCAAAAAATCTTAACAGATCAATTGTTGAAAAATTCAAAATTGTTTAAATTACTCTTTTCAAGAAACAGAGAAAGTGATGATAAACAAAATTCATCATATATAAAGGTAGTACCAAAGACATATGAGCCTCTAGCTTATGTTCAGAAGCAATTCTTATTAAATACAAGTTTTAATTATAAGTAGTTGTGATATATATTTTGTATGTTAATGTAAGTTTAACTATGACTGTTCATTTATGCTGAAATCTATTGTTATTGAACAGTTTTTAGTTCATAGAACAGTTTTTTTATTTTTTAACATATAATCACCGTAAATAATTAGAATACAAGATGTATTAAACAGACATCTCTCCTAACCATGCGATGTTTTGTTAGTCCACCGTTTTCTTTTTTCATTCAAATTACGTTCCTTCAAACGGACTAATTTTTTAACCGGACAGAATTGCTAGTCCAATCAGCGTTCGTTTCATAGAGCTTGCACTGTACGAATAAAATGATAAATAGGGATTTGATGGATATTTAATTATTAGAATAGGGAAAACTAAATATCATCGTTATTCAAAATTTATTATATTTTGCTTTAAACAATACTTAACCTTTCATTCTTTTCGCATGTGTTTCATCTTTAAGATCCCTCTGAAGATGTTTCATTATTTCCAACTCTTCGCACTCCAGTTGGTGTAATCGAGCATCAATTAATTTTTGTTCATTTTGAAAAACCTTCATTTTTTCTTCATGTTGCCTAATGCATTCGTTTGGATAGTTCAAAAATTTAGGATACACATTTTTAGGAAGTTGCTTAAAAAGTTCGATATATCTTTTTGGATGTAGTTTAGGTGGGCATTTTGTGTTTAATTTCCATGCTTTTGACAATAATTGACTGACATCAATTGGATTTTGTTCGTGAAAAAACATAATCACGTTATCCCTACATGGTAATCTTAAGATAACTTCTCGCTGCAAAATATTATAAGCAACGCAACAAAATATAATAAAATACGTTTGACACGATATTATATTATCCCATAAATGAAGCCACTGTTCTTGATCGAGAAGTTCTGAGAATCCATTAGAAAAAATTGACCAAGCGTAATGTGTTGAGTTAATATCCATTTTAGCATAAAATTTGCACAAATCTGGGTCAAAAAACTGAAGCAGATTTTCGCATATCCCTAAATAATTTGCAGGTTCCATGGGATGAAATTCAAACCACAGTTGGAAATGATTTAAAAAAAGTGTGACACAAATTTCGAATGCAATAAGAGCATTTTTCGAAAATAATTTTATAAATGGAAATATTAAAAATGGTACAAAGTCTGCATATAAAATTGGTTTGCACCACAATCCCAAGCATGACCACACTTTAATCAGCGACCGTTTTAAAGACTCATTCTTTAATTTTATATTTTTTGATTTGCTTCTAATTTCCACTGGTACCTCACTTTTAAGTAATTTTTGAAACTCTGATTGATTATATGGCAATTTAAGCAATGCAGACCAAATAATAGTGCGATATTTTGAGGGATATTGGCCATATTCACGCAAAATATGTAACAATCGATTACGTTTAAGCATATTCTTTACATCATTATAAAAGCATTCATTGCTGGAAATGGGTAAGCAAATCGGTTTTTTCACTTTAAAAGAGCCTTGTAACAGTTCGATACATTTTTCTTGTGACTTTAATATGTTATAAAGTTGAGAGGTTGACCAAATATTGGCCTCTCCGTTATTTGATAATATTGCTATCAATTGTCCATCTTCGGAAATTTCCATATGGAATGCATTTCGTGATTGAACAATCAATATTAACTTAGTATTTTGACAATCAAGTAATATAACCTGATGTTTTGTTGTAAGGCAAAATAACAAAATCTCCTTAGGTTTCGGAAGAAAAGCGCATTCCGAAACCACAAAATCTTTAGTTCGAAGTATTTTTTTAATCTCAACTGTGTAAATGCTAATTAGTAATATGTAATTATCTATTGTTGATAAGCATAAAAGGCTTCCGTCGAAAGCATAGCAGTAGGAAACTATCTGACCATTAGAATAATCTAAGTTTTGGCAGTTAAATAGAAATTCTCTACAATTTTCGGAGTCTAAACAGAATTCTGGTATGGAGTCACTCTTCATTAGTTGTAATTTTTTATCGCGTTGCTTTATTGGGTAGTGAATGCGAATATTTCTCAGAGTAACTCCCGACCAAAAATATATTGCATCATTGGTAAAACAAGTAAAAATTTTTTCTGAAAATGGCAAAAAAGTTGCGAACTTTAAATTGATTGGCATCTCATCCAAGTCCAGGCGATGTGTAGCAGTAAAGGTTTGCACATTAAATAAAATTGCAAGGTGTCCAACAATAATTAGTGCTAAATTAGATGGCAACAATGGCTGTCCCGGAAAAGATATTTCAGTAATGGGACATTTATAAACTTCTGCTGTCTTTATTATTTTCGAGCTATCTAAATTAATTATAATTATTTTAAGACGAACGTTTAACTAGGTTTATTTACCTGTGTCCAGAAGTAGAAGCCGACCATTTTTGGTGCCTATTAAATAATGCGTTGTCTTTGTAAACGACGGCTTTATTACGCTTACGCCTATAATTTGTTCTTGTAATTGCCAGTAACGTTTTGATGGAAAATCAAATACAAAAATGTTCCCCCTTAAATATTTAGAGTAATAATATATTACTGGCATTTCGGAAAAAAGAAAAATCATCACCTTTTATCAATAATAACAAATTGAGTGCATCCGTTTCCAAAACAACATGCACTCAATCTAATTCTTATGATTTTATCATATTTAGTGACTGTGTGATGTAAGGTAAATATATTTCCATTTTGATTTTGTTTTAATTTAAATGGTAATTTTTTTGATTTGTCTATAGTGCATGGTTCAGCATCATAGAATGAAGTTTCTTCAGTTATTTCTTCAAACAATCTCTCTTCCAAAAATGGTTCGTCTTCCAAAAATTCACTATCCTCAAAAATTTCCTCAGAGTTAGTTTTTTTTAAATTTTTATCCTTTATAATTAAATCATTGTTTTCATTTTTCGATGTATTGCCTTTAGCTAAATCACTATTATTTGATTCAGCGTTCAAAGATTTACTTCGTCTGTTGCTCCCCTCCAAATCATTGTTAACAGCGTTGTTAGAGTTTTCTTCTTTTTTATCCATATCAATCGGGGTAAATTTAATAAATTTCTTAGATTAATTTAAGTTTAGCGCTCTTAAAATGTTTATTTTTTATTTTGACAGTGAATTAATAAAACGGAGTAATTCAAGTGTTTCCTCTGCATTTTATTAAATGATTACTACAATTTTCAGTGATGATCTAAATAGTATTAAAAATTTTAGTATTAGGTAAACTGGACTCACCTACAGTTGGTAGATACAAATACACAAATTTGAATTATTTAATGCCATTATCATATAAAATATCAGTATATTTACATCGGCTCTGAAAATGTTGTTCTGATCTGTATAGTTTCATTGTAAATTGCACATAAATGTGTTAAATTAAAGTAGGGGTGCTATACAATAGTACCCCTATTGTGTAGTATTTGTAATAGTAGTGGTATTCACTATTCCGTGCGACGATTTTTGTAACCGATTTATATAATTACCAAAGAAGATAAAAAAAATTTCAGATACTTGAAAATTTAAGTAAAAATTTTTTTAGATTATCCAATAGATATTAAAACTTTTGTGTAATGGCTTAAAAATATCAAATAGTACAAAAAGAAAAACAATTGCTACACAAAGACGTTGAAAAATTTTCCTTACCCGGTTCTGCTATTGCTGATACATACTGTAAAAACTTAAATCAAAGCGAAATATATAACCAACCATACCAACCAACCATACCAAGTTGGTATTACCAACCAACCATATCTGTGTATTTGATAAGAACGAAATAAACAAAGTTCGCCGCTTTTGTTTACTTCGTTTCTATCATATATATTTTATCAAATATATATATACAGTTTGTCAACATTGTGTTTGCAAAACGAAAAAATGTTACAAATATTTGTTAAATGCTCAATAAAAACGATTTAATTTTGAAATAAAAAAAAAATTAAAAAGTTTACAATTAATTTAAACATTTTTCTTTATATTAAACTAAAAATTAATCAAAAATATCGTTAGAACAATAAAATAATTCACAAAAACAAAAATAACACCAAATTTGTTGTGTCAACATTGTGTTTGCAATTTTGCAATTTCTTATTTTTAACGGGACAGAATACCGTTAGATGTGTCTGGGTTTTTCTGTTTATTATAATATTCTGCAAAAACTGTTCAATTTCTTTGTTATTTAATAAAGTAGAGTCTTTTAAGTGAAGGAATAACTAGAATACAAGTGATTAAATATGGCCTGTAAAAGAACAAATTCAAATAATATTGAGTTATTATGTTATAATTACTACCTCGGTAAATCTGCTAAGGAATAAAGTCTAACGTTTAATATTAGGTTAAGAACAATTAATAATATCAAAAACAAAACAGAAAATGAGGATTGCATTAGTTTAAAACCAGCAGGCCACCGTATTAAACCATTGTCTGATCGCCATATAAGAAGAGTATTGCGAATAATTGATAAAAATCCTTTAATTTCCTTACGATCATTGGCATTAGGTCTGGAGAAGCTATTTAATATTGTTGTTAGTCACAAGGCAATAAGAAAAGTGCTATTACAAAACATTTATTCTTCGAAAGTTCCACGTAATACACCGTTGTTATCTGTTTAAAAAATTGAAAAACGATTTCAGTTTGCTAGCGCACATTTAAGATATGATTCAAAGTACTAAGATGATGTGATTTTCTGGGACGAAGTGAAAATCAAGCTTTCTTCTAATGCAGGACCCACACAAACATGGTAATAAAGCATAAAATTCCAGAAAATCACACCATCTTAGTACTCTGAAGCCAGTGACGATTGCTCTAAGGTGCGGAGGTGTGCGGTGAACACCCTAACATAATTTGCAAAATGTTAAATAACATAGGTCTATAAATTTATTAGGTATCTTCACATCAAGAATTATTATTAATTATTACATTTCCATATACATATATATTTTTTAAAGTTTTAGCAAAAACAATTAAATATAATTGTCTATGAAAACTCAATCAATTTGCTTCTGTTAGCTGCTATCATAGAGTATATATACTCTTTGCTGCTATACTTGTTAGGTGTGCTCGTATATTTGCAGCTCAAATCACAGAACATTTCTATTTTATTTCGTCTCTCCCCTTTGTGTGCAAAGAAGTTGGCCGCATATTCATACGTTGCATATGAACAAAATAATGTGCGTGTGCTCCCGTTCGTAATATCAGAGATAGAGATTTATATAGTGAGAATTGTATGAGAGTAATTTTCTGTTCTATTCGAATATCAAATGCATGCATACGAATCCAACATGATGATTTGCCAAAGTGGTTGCATGAGCGGCTAAAGTTTGCAGCTCATATCACCATACATTTCTATCACATTTCGTCTCTCCCCTTTTAACAGCAGCACCCACGAATTTCTGTTCTTATTGTGCGGGGTACTTGTGCGCACATTGCAAGTGGTTTCGATTTTGTTTGATCACTGCACAAACATGTATGTTTCTAAGTACAAACTCTTTTGTTTGAAAAAAGTTGGTTTGATGTTACGAGAATTATGTGAAATGTTTTGTTTCTTCCATATTGATATAATATTAAATTTATATATAAATTATTAATTTAATTTGTTTAATATGTTATTTTGTTAATGAATTGTTAATATAATATTGCGAATATATTGTTGCCTAATATAATATGGTTATTATTAATAAAACATCTCATATATTTTAATTTAAGTGGTACATGTAAAAAAAACATTAAAGAAGAGCCGCACACCCTTCCAAATAGGGCACGCGTCGTCACTGTCTGAAGCATATCTTAAATGTGCGCTAACAAACTGAAATCGCTTTTCAATTTTTTAAACAGATAACAACGGTGTATTACGTGGAACTTTCGAAGAATAAATGTTTTGTAATAGCACTTTTCTTATTGCCTTGTGACTAACAACAATATTAAATAACTTTTCCAGACCTAATGCCAATGATCGTATGGGAATTCAAGGATTTTTATCAATTATTTGCAATACTCTTCTTATATGGCGATCAGACAATGGTTTAATACGGTGGCCTGCTGGTTTTAAACTAATGCAGTCCTCATTTTCTGCTCTGTTTATGATATTATAAATTGTTCTAAACCTAATATTAAACATTAGACTTTATTACTTAGCAGATTTACCGAGGTAGAAATTATAACATACTAACTTAATATTATTTGCATTTGTTCTTTTACATGCCATATTTAATCACGTGCGTTTTAGTTATTCCTTCACTTAAAACACTCTATTTTATTAAATAACAAAGAAACTAAACAGTTTTTGCAGAATATCATAACAAACAAAAAAACCCAGACACATCTAACGGTATTCTGTCCCGTTAAAAATAAGAAATTGCAAAATTGCAAACACAATGTTGACACAACAAATTTGGTGTTATTTTTGTTTTTGTGAATTATTTTATTGTTTTAATGATACTTTTGAATAATTTTTAGTTTAATATGAAGAAAAATGTTTAATTTATTTGTAAACATTTTAATTTTTTTTTTATTTCAAAATTAAATCGTTTTTATTGAGCATTTAACAAATATTTGTAACATTTTTTCGTTTTGCAAACACAATGTTGACAAACTGTATATTCTATCATATATATATATTCTATAATATATATTCTATCAAATAGACATTTCGCTTTGGCTTAAGTTCGCTTAAGTTCTTACGGTACGTACCGATTAACTGAGCCTTTAGTCGGATGTGCGTTAAGGCTCAGCATTTCTGTAAAAGAATACTACTGATATTTGAATCAATATATTTAGCAATATAAAATTTATAAATATTTTAGAATTTCAAGAAAAAAACGTTGGTCTGTCAGAGTCCTCCTTGATACACACCATATCGAAATCAAGAAGCATGGACGTCTCCAGCCTAACAGCTGGCGCATACAGTTGAATTCAGCTCATTTAAAATATTTAATTTGTTTATACAATATGATAAAGTTCAATAGAAGAGTCACTTATAGTATATCTTAATTGTCGTGTAAAAAATAATTAAAGTTGGATACCTGCCGACCATCAACAGTTCGCATATTAGAGACCATGTATTTGAGGTTTTATTTAAGAAGCATTAAGTTGCTTCTGCTTGATTACAATTAGTCAGTTAGCATTCATAGCTAAGACTTAACCATGTTATTGCTATTAGTGTAAGTAGCCCGTGGAGATATACACATTTGGGAAATAACATAAAAGAAATTACATATACAAAAGCTTGGGTTGGGATATGGGTATATAAAGTGTGAAAAAGGAGATGATAGTTTAGGTACAAGAGTGGACGGCCACTTCAATGGGACGGAAGTTAATATTAATTGGACTCAAATTGGTAAATGCACTACTACGTGAAAACAGATAGTTAACATCATGGCATCAGAGGGTAACATTCCTACAAGTTACTTAGTAACCCATGTTTTTATCGACATGTGTATGTTCCAAGTCATTTTGTAAGATACTGATGAAGCCTATCGAACGTGTTTGCAAGATCAAGACCTACAAGTGCCATGCGTTCACATGAGTTATATATCCTACCTGCAAGAGCTGATGTAACTGATTTGATGATAATGTTGAGGAATTGTTTATCTACCGTATTCGAATCAGAGGTCCTGAAAATTTACCGAAATCACGTTGAAAGATATTTTTGATGATTTAATTTCACCTTTTTTCAATTTTTGTTAGTTTTCATGACAGCTTCGAAAAGGGTTCCCACGGCAAGTAGTATTAGGGTGGCAAGGCAGATATCAGGGATAATAATTTATGGCTTCTTACCTTTCTTGTTTTCCTAATTTTTGGGATATTGCAATTTTAAACTAGATCCCGCATCGAACGCAACACTTTTTTCTGTTTAGGCAGTGAGAGAAAGAGTTTCATTTCAAAAATAAAAATTTTAAAAATGGTAGATCATTTAAATGAAACTTAATACTCATAGCCAGTGATGACATTGTGTTCGTTCAATGTCAACTAGTTCAAGCTTTACTTGCTGAGCTATTAATTATATATGCTAGGTAAAGACAAAACTTTACTCTTATCAAGAATACAATTAACGTACTAGGCTTCTGATTTAGTATCTCAAACTCCTGTTAAAAAGTTAGCGTTCCTGCAAAACTCGCTAAAAGTTTTAAAATCATCTCTTAAATGTAACTAGTAAATAAACTAATGACAGCTG